TTCATAATTCTGTGCAGAACCTGGTAAATTGCAAGATTCTGCTGATGGCCACCAGCCAGATCAAGCAATTAATCACAAGGGTCCCCAACCAGGTTTGCACCTCATGCCAAGTGGATTCTTCAAGGGGAAACTGTGTACACAAAAGAAATAGCCCGATCCACACAGTTTCATAGCAACGTGCTTTGTAGCTCTGCCAACACAGAGAAATTATCTGTTATCATTAAGACATCCAAGCCTCATAACTTTTTCCTCATGGAAATTAGTACTCACCAGCCCAGGGAACATCCCCAAACCTTGTTAACTGCAAGATAGACTGAAACCTGCTGAGAGCTGATGAATCCAGTTTAGACAAAACTAAGCTCTGACCTTTCTCATCCTCAACAATTCTCATTTGGGAGACCTCAGTTGGAACTGAGCTCTTTGTTGCTTTTGAACTTTTCTAGAACGTCTGAACTATTTGCATTCGCTCTTATGTGCCAGGCCAAGGGGCCAAAACCCACAGCTAAGAAATGAGCTTGGAGTCTGTCCTCAGAAACCTGATCGCTGTACCCAAGGTGAAAAGGGACTATAACAGAAGAACTGTTTCTCACAGGACAATCTTGCTTGGTTTTGCCAACTCTAAGTGGTTTATATAAACGAAATAATCTTCTGCACTTGAAAATGTTTATAAAGTCTTTCCTAATTACTTTGTGTTTAGAGTAATTCTGGGAACATGATAGAGAACAGAGGGGAACACTGAGCCATCCTCAGACACAACGGGAGGGGGAATAAGCATAAGAATAAATTTACAGTGTGGATGAGAGGATTGGGGATTGTCACCCTGACTTTTAGGTTTTTCCTTTTTGAAATCTTTTTCCTAAATCTCAGGCTGTCTTTTACTAACTCTCAGTTTTCTGCTCTCTAAATCTGCTGTCCAATGTGGTAGCCACTAGTCCATGTGATCACTGAAATTTAAATGAACGAAATAAAATTTAAAATTAATTTCCTCCAGGCACTAACTACATGTTCAGCAACCACATCTGACTAATGACTTAATGACTGCCTTATTGGACCAAAAGACATAGAACATTTCCATCATGGCAGGAAGCTCCAGTCAGTGGTGCTGCTCTGGATAGGGAACTCTACAGCTTCGCTATGGAAGTGTGGGCCACAGACCAGGAGCATCATTATCACCTGAGAGCTTGTTAAGCCAACATGATCACCTTCGAACCTGATACCAGATGACCCATATGCAATTTCACTTTTAGAAGCACTAAATACCATTTCACTTTAAGTTTCTGCATACTGAAATTCATCATTGTAATCAGCATTATTTGTTAGTTCTTACTTAGCTTATGTAGCACTGTCTCAAAAAGAGACACTTCAGCCCTTTGAGACTTGGCATGTAAAAGGACAAACTCTAAGCATGCTTACTCCTTTAAAGGTATGTCTTTCCTTGCTCTTGGAAAGGGTACAGAATCTGGAGAATATTGGAATTTTTTTTTTAAAGAAGTGAACGTTAGAGATCATTTTTTCCAATGAAGCTTTTGGATTTGGTCAACAGAGAGGCCCTTGAGGTTAAAATAAGATTAAATAGAAAGACAAAGTGGGGAATAGCTTAACCAAAAAAAAAAGGGACTTGACGTATTCATTCATTTGACAAATATTCAGGGCATCATGCTCTGTGGCTGAGTGAGGCACAGAAGCAATGAAAGAAATTAGGAAAGAACCCCTGGGAATATAATCTGCTAACCAGCCTGACACTGTGGAGATGGAGGGGAATTTCAGTGACAACTTGGATTAAACTTCAAGGTATATTTTTATGCTCTCTCATGAAATTCATTGCTATTTGTACCTGTAGTCAGAGTTTTCTTCTGGAAGATTCTATGGACTGTTAGAGTGGTGGTTGGAATTCAATAACTTGGCACACTTGTCTCTATCCAGTAAAGAGAATGAAATCACTGAGTTACCTCTGAGAAAGTGGCTAAGCAAATACATCCCTGCTGAAAATATCTGGCCTGATGATACTTTCTCCCCGAAATGTACTCGTATTCATGTGATACGAGGTGGAAGCCACCTCGTCAGCAGGCTTCAAGTGCAAAATGGACATAAAGCCATATAAGGGTTTGCAACTTTCCTAGGGAAATCATACCCTGATTGAAGTTGATAGGTGTCCTGGGTTGTCACAGATAAATTACAAGGTTGCAATATTTTCATAGGCTGTAATTCCTAAACCGTTTTTCGTTAGAAAACAATATGATCCCCTGCAAATAAATTCTATCTTTACTTTAAAATATTGTTAACTTCATTCTTATAGCTCTTGCTACAAAGATGAAGATATTCATTTATTCATTGATTACAAGGCACCTTTGGTGCACTAAGCTTTCTGCCACACACTGCATATGCTTTGCCTGAAGAAGCTTGGAGTGAGAAGCAGCAGTGTTTAAAGAGAAGTCCTCACTCTAGTAACATATTGGTGTCCCCTGCAGGCTTTCTGGAAGTACAGATTCTCATACCTACTCACGAATCAGACTGTTTCCATTTGGGCCCAAAATCTGTGCTTTTTCAAGCTCTCCAGGGGATTTCTAAGCACAATAAGGTTTGAGAAGCATTAGTCCATAGACAAGCATACCATCAGTGACTCTAATACAGTATGATAAATGCAATGTCACAGAAGTGACTATCCCCAGCCCTCCTGCTCCCCAGGCGATGTGGCATTTTAGTAAGCACTCAATGGAATAAATGTTGCTTGATTGAATGAGGTGTGGATTGGCCTATAGCAACTAAAAATACTGGAATGATGGAACATGCCTAAGTCCCCAGGACTTTGAAGGGGTTGGATAACTTGCTGAGATTCACCACTCCTGTCTGCCCTGCTCTGAAGCCAAATGTGTAGATCACTCTACTATATTATAGCTAGGATGCTTGGTATTTTTTTACCAAGGGAACAAGACTACGAACCAAATTTCCCCATAGTTCACACACTTTTCCCTGTCTCACAGACAAATAACTACTAGTTCAGTCCTGGAGAGAAGATGTAGGTGCTTCCATGCACTTGTGCCAAATTAACATCATGAGAGTCATGGAGCCACTTGTTAAATATCACTTCCCAGACTGCCCCTGGACATTCCCAATCAGTGGCCATGGAGAGGGGCTGGACAAAATGAAAATGTTCGGAAGTTGCATGAGATGAGACTAATAAATTCAGGTTAGAGAACGTTGGGGTGAACCTCAGAACTCTTCAGCCCTGAAATCCAGATCTTCAGTTTATACTGCTGGAACCAGAGTGGATTGAGGACACGGTTTTGAGCCTTGTAGTGTTGACCAGTGGCTTTGTAGCAGGGTGGTCCCCAGGAAAGGGGGAGGTTCCAGGTTCCCTGCCCCACCCAAGGGAGGGTGGAGCTGAGCAGGAAGAGGAGAAGCTGAAGAGGAGACTGAGGAAGGAAGCAGGATGGAGCCAGAAGGAGACCTGGCTATAATATAGTTCAGTGATCTACACGTTTGGCTTCAGAGCAGGGCAGACAGGAGTGGCAAATCTCAGCAAGTTATCCAACCCCTTCAAAGTCCTGGGGACTTAGGCATGTTCCATCATTCCAGTATTTTTAGTTGCTATAGGCCAATCCACGCATGGAGCTTAGAGACATGTGAAGAAACTGCACTTGTCTTTTGGTCGTGGACTGGGTGACACAGATGTGGGTGAGACCCGTGGGGAGGTGACAATGGCAGCTTTTATCTTGATGTTGATTTTGCTCTTTTCCTTCCGGGCTTGTCTGTTTTTTTCTGACCCTTTTCTGTGGGTCCCCACTGGAAGATGCTTTAGACTTGTGACAGGCTTTGGGGCCTTGCTCTGGGCCAATCCCATCTGGATGGAGTTTTACCCACGAGGGGACGGGTAACTTTGGGCTCTTGATTTAGAATCTAGATTCTTTGCCTTTCCTGTATGTTTCCAAATTGTATTAAAGTTCCTTCCCATTAAAGTCTCATATGTTTTGTGTTGATGCGGCGGATGGCAGAACCCATTTAGAATAGGCAGGTTTGCGGGGTTTGGGCTGCCCCTTTCCCTGTCCTGTAACAGCTTGACTTGTAGCAGAACAGCAAGGGAGTAAATACAGTGTCTCTGTTGTTTTTCCTAGGGCTGTTTGGGAAGGGAGGATAGCCTGCACACAGTGAGAGTGTGTGTGTGTGTGTGTGTGTGTGTGTGTGTGTGTGTGTGACAGTGAGTGGTGATGCTGGTGGTCCTGGTGGTGAGCTTCACTTATCTTCTGAGTGCTCTAAAACTCTCCCATAAATGTGGCTGACATCGTACAAGCCACACTGCAGAAAGCCTCCTAATATAGCATCAGGAGCCAGTAACATTCTATTGAGACAACAAAACTCAGGGCTGAAAGGGTGGGGGTGGAGGCCAAGCCTTCCCATCCTGTCTAGTTATAAATGATTGCCTGAAAATGTTCCCATGGGGCTTTGGGACCTCATATTTCCTGCTTAGCACTTCTGGAACCAACAGGCCCTTGGCATGTCATAGCTAGATCAAGGGCCATAGCCTGGCCTACAGGCTGCAGCCTGTGGTAGGTCACTTATCTTTCCCAGCCTGCTTGTCTTCATCTGTGCAGTAAAATTATGGTATCTGCTTCTTTGGGTTGCTGCCAAATGGACACATGTTATATGCTAAGTACTTGGTTAATTAAGGTGCTTAATATTATGGCCATGGTTGTCCATAGACTCTGATAGTCTCCAGAGAAACAGAACCAACAGTAGATATAGCGATATATCTATGCCTACAGAAAGATAGGAAGATTTATCAATTGAAAGAGAGGAGAAATGATAATAGCTAGCTAGCTAGCTAATTATTATTAAGAATTGCTGCACATAATCATGGTGGCTGAAAGGATCCAAGATCTTTATGTTGGAGATTCAGGAGAACTGATGGGTTAAATTCCAGTCCAAGTCCACGTATAAATCCTAAGGCAGGAGAAGACCCATGTCCAAACTCAGAGAGAGAACAAATTCTTCTTTACTCAGCACGTTGTTCCACTCAGACCTTCTGTTGATCGGATGGGAACCATCTATCAATAAATTAGGGAGAAAATTGCTTTATTCAATTTACTAATTCAAATGTTAATCTCATCCAGAAACACTCTCACAGACACACCCAGAGTAATGTTTTACTAAATATCATCTGGGAACCCCACGGCCTGGTCAAGTTGACACATAAAAATCACCATCGCTGAGTCATTGTGGCTTCAGTCTACTCACGTGTGAGAATTCAAAGCTAGTTTGTATGCATCATCTGCTTTCCTGACCTTAACCCATGTCCTCTATCATCTTAATACTTGTCTTAGATTCTCACCATCATTTCATGCAGGGGGTAGAGTTGATTATTTAATCAGATTCCCAGGGGGCAAACACTATGCCCCCCAAAAAATGATTGGTAGGCAGATAAGGACAGAAATGAAACCAGAGCAACTGAGAACACCTGTCCTTCCCCACCAAAAGGCTGGTAGCAAAGATAGTTTTATTGCCACATAAATCCTCCTTTGTCCTTCTTTTATCTCCTAACTTCTCCCATACATACTAATTAATTAATTGAGCATACCTGTTTAAATCATCCAATCTTGATTCTTATAATGGTGTGCCTGCGAGAGTTCTAAAAGTTAGAAATGATTTAGTATTAGAGGGTTTGATTACATTGAATATAAAATCAAATAAAATGAGCAAATGATGAATAGAAGAGGGGAGTGAGGTTTGAAATTAGCCCTATTTCCTGTACACACAAGAGGCACACTTAAGTCGGTTTTTATCTTGGCCTATTTTGAGAGTGATATATTTGGCTCACAACCAGGAATAGAAGATAAACAAGGACCTGTATCGTCTAAACCAACTCAGTGCTATTGATATTTTGAGCTGGATAATTATTTGATGTGGCCGTCCTGTGTCTTCCAGGATGATTAGCACCTCTACTCCCTAGGTGCCAGTAGTAACCCCCAAGTTGTGACAGCTGAGAGTGTCTCCTGGCACGGCCAGATGTATCCCAGGGGGGCAAAATTGTACCCGGTTGAGAACCACTGCTCTGAACATAGGAAAGATTTTAGGCTGTTAAATAGAAATGTACCTAACTTTCTGTAGTTCAGATATCTTAGTAATGGCAGTGTAGATATAGGATTCACATCTGATGAGCCTTCTTTTACACATATGAACTTACTTGCCTTCTCTCCTGCATTCCTGTTGTTGAGGAATTTTCTTTCCTAATATCTGTTTCTATTGAGCTGAGACAGCACGGTGGTGAGAACAGATTTGAGTCCTCATCTTAGTGTGCATTCTTGCCAGGTGACAATGACAAGTTAATGAAACTGGCCTGATGTTTTCCAGGTGTGTTAAGAGGATAATACAATTAAGGTCACAAATATGGCAGTGAGAACTTAGTGACTACCTATTATACCTTAGTTGGACCATAGTAGCTGCTCAATAAACATCAGATCTGTTTATCTATGGTTGCTACATGGGGCCACCATGCATCTCACTCCTTTGGAATGTACACCTCACCCCTGGTCTAAATTGCCCCCTGAGAAGGTGCAGTTTGGGGCCACCCTAAAGTCCTCAAACTCAAGTCACATGAAAGATATTTTCAAATAGAAGATATGGCCCTCCTTTTTGAATGGAAGACACTAAACATTTCTTTGAAGTGATGAAGTCTTCTTTCTTCCTTTTAACCCATAGGGGAAGAGACTACATGCATGGTCTTTTCTTCTTCCCCAAACACATGAATCCCCTTGGCCCCTCACTGCTGGAATGAGGAAAGGTGAAGCAGAACATGCTTGGTCCCAGCTGTGTTCTTGAATCATCTGTGAGGCTGGCTAATGCCTCTCATGCCAGTGCCTTCCTTCCTGGGAAGTTTCTGGTGTGAACTCTCTTTATCATGGAGCTGTCTGTTCATGTCTGCATTAATCTCAAGGACAGTGGACACCAAAGGGTGTTGATTGTGGCGTTGGCAGTGCCAAGCGTGTTATCTGACTCCTTGAGGATACAAAGACTTGACCTCCAGGTGATTAGTTTCTTTTTCCTGACCTAGCTTTGGCATTAGAACATTGACTTTTGTATGTCTGGTTTCTCTAGGGAATCTGGGGGATTTGTGGCAGTAATGATAAGTAGTAGTCATCACTTAGCAGATATTTACTATTTGCCCAACACCATGCAAAAGACTTTTTCTACAAGCCCATATATCATCACACCCACCCAGTGAGGTAGGATGGTTGATCACCATTTAAAGGTGAAGAAATTGAGGTTTGGAGAAATTCATGTTTGCAACGTCATATAGCTGGTAAGTGGTGAGCCTGGGATGTCAGCCAGATCCACCTACTCAGAGGCCAGGATCTTAATCACTGGGTTCTTATGTGTCTCTACTCATCCCAGACTCAGAAGCTATTGGAGTACAGAGGTGACTGACTCCTGAATGCCTGAACTAATCTTGTGGACCCATCAGAGATTTGAGAAAGAGCCCTTGATTGTTCATTAGCTGTAAATCCATACACTGTCAGCATCAGACACAAGTTCCTTGACATGCAGATATAAAGTCTGTTGACATACATTTCTTTCTTCTGAAAGAAACTGGAACAATCCTTCTCTGGATATGCAAACTTGAGCTATAGGATTGACTCTTGTCTAAAATTAGGTATTATGAAAGGGAAAAAAAACTTTTCTAACATCATTCCTTTTTTCATTAATTTCACAGCTATATATTAATCACTTTCTGTGGGTCTGTTAGTTCACTTTGCACAAGAAAGACACACAGCATGAAGACATGGCACCACCCCTGAAAAGATTGGGAGAGATAGATAAGTTGAAGTGTTCATGGGGGTTTGGTGGTAAAGGTTTAAATCTCCATGCTGGCACATAGGGAACAAGCTGTCAGCTGTATCTTACAAAGCATATGACATGTGAGGTAGGCTTGAAAAATGAAGGATTAGATATTTGCTAGTGTCAAAGGATTCACATCTGAGGCAGGAAGAAAAGCTGAGCAGACTGCGGATAACCTATTACATATGAGGAGGTAGGAAGAGTCTGAAGTGGCTGAACCCAATCTAGGGGATACAGCCCCCAAAATGTACCATCTGAGAGATCACAGTTTCCGCCTTTTAAGAAGCAGAGCCATCTAATGCAAACCGCCATTTTGCATTTTGACCACATGTAGCTTTTACATACCTGAAGATTCCCACTACAGGTAATAAAGGTCTCTATCAAAGTGATGACCGCAGAGCCTGTCACTGTACATCTGTGATACCAGGACTATTGTCCAAACCCAATTCTGGGCTCAGACCTTACACCTACAACTTAAGTAAGCAGGGCCTCTTATTCCCATGTAAAGCCCAACTCAACATGGAGACACATTTAAAGGAAACACAACTAAGGGTAAAAGTATGGAAAAGCAATGAATACTTGAGAGATTCCCTGGAAAGAGGTTCAAAGGGACTGAAGCCACAGCACACTCTTCTCCTTAGTCATCCTAGACATCCCCCTTCCAAAGGTCCCATTCATATAGCAACTATTGCCCTAAATCTCCCATGTCACTCCCTGAACCACCAATTCAGTGGCCTCTACTTCTGTGTGTGGTCCTATCTGTAGGAACTCACTCTGCTCTTTCTGCTGTCTATGTCTTTCTAATATATATTAATTTAGCCTCCATTTGTCATGTATACCCACCAAGGCCCTTCATTTTGCTGACTGGACTTCAGGATAAACAGAATCTTTGGAAGATAGAATGGGAAAAGCTGTGCGCAAAAATATTTGTGCTTTATGTATTTGTCCCAGCGTGTCATGTGTGTCATATGCCCCATGGGAGTGGGACATGCCCAAGCCTGAGTACAAATTTGATTCTCACTAGCTGTGTGACCTTGGGCAAATGATAACACTGAGTCTCAATTTCCTTATTGATGAAATGGGGATAATTCTACCTGTCCTAAGGAGCATACTGGGGAGCCACAAGTAGACGAGCTTTTAGGTGCAATGGGCTCAGCTTCTGTCTGTGGTTATGTGTTATTATATGCTAAAATTAGACACCTCCTCTTTCATGTGGTTATTTGGAGAAGCAGCAACTGTGATAAACCGCGTTATCACCTCCTGACTTGGCATCCAAAGGATAGAATTAATTAGAGTTCGCTTGTTTTATCATCATTATTCCCTTTCGGAATTTTATTATGTATGTTATCTTAATAACACTTTTCCAAGGTCACCTGCTTTCGAGTGCTGATTTCAGCAAAATCTCAAGAACAGTGCCCTGTGTCAGGTTCCTAGAAATGCACGTGGCTGTTCAGGGCTGTAGCTGATTTACAGGATGACCTGGGGGAAAGATCTCTACCCATGTGGGTTTCTGTCTGTCCTTCAGCAATACCAGAAGGTTATCTTGTCCTGAAATTGTGAGGTCTTTAGTTTCAAGGTAGTATCGTGAATGAACACAATCCTGGAAGGGCCTCCCTGGTGGCGCAAGGGGTTAAGTCGCAGAACTGTGAAGATATCCGCAGCCACTGAAGCACAAGTTTGATCCCTGGTCAGGGGGTGACCCACATGGTGCAGCAGACCTCTCCTGGTTTACCCACTGCTCCCCTCAGCAGTGTATTTCAGTGGATCTGCCTGTTCTGTTCCCCACTCTTTCTCTGGTGAATCCTCTCACCCCACCCTCCCCCCGACCTGCACCCCAGTTCTTGTATGCATAAGCAAATAAATCTTTAAAAAAAAATCCTGGGAAATTTACATAGTTAGTGCTCATAGGTCAAATCTGCATCCTTGTGAACCTAATTTTTGCATTGTTTTTAAAATACTATGACAGTGATGAAAATACTAGCATCTTCACCATTTCATCTGCAATTCTTTTCTGTGCATAGGTGTAAACTTTATACTGTGATATATAACTGTTTACCATGTTACTACATAATCATCATAATGATTGCTTTAATGACCCTCTAATCATCCATCTTGTTGATGCACCATAATTTACTTAGCCTAAATTTTCAACAATAGGAACCTGGTTGTTTTCCACTATTATGTTATTTTTTCACTATGATAAATAAGTTCCAGGTTACATATTTGTGCATATAGCTGCTTTCATTTTTTTATTATTATTTCCCCAGGATAGACTCCTAGAAAGGGATCACTGAGTCGAGGAGTGTGAATTATTAATAGTTTTTAAATAATTGACATTATTTTCCCAGTTCACCATGCCATCAGCAATATATTAGTATTCTACTTTCATTGCAACCTTATCAGTAGTGTGTGATATTATTTTATATTTAATATGCTTAAATAGAAGCTTTTGTTTTTGCTTTGTTTCAAAAATAGCAGATTTTAATCAAACATTTTCTTATAAATTATGCATTCTCTCATGTTTTGAAAAGCCAGGTTTTTTTTAAGATTTATTTATTTTTATGCATACAAGAGCTGGGGTACAGGCCAGAGGTGCGGGGTGGGGGTCAGTGAGAGGATTCACCAGAGACAGAATGGAGAGCGGAACAGGCAGATCAACTGAAATACACTGCTGAGGGGAGCAGCGGGTGAGTCAGGAGAGGTCTGCTGCACCATGTGGGTTGCTCCCTGGCCAGGGATCGAACTCGTGCTGCAGTGGCTGTGCTTAGCTTCATAGGTTGTGTCTTAACCCCTTGCTCCACTAGGGAGGCCCTTGAAAAGCCAGTTTTAAAACCTTACTAGATAACGCTCCCTTAAGAGCTCTTGCTGTTTTTTCTCCCATTGTTTAATGGTTCATTGTATTAAGTAAAACAAATATTGATATTTTAATGAGTAAAATATTCATTTGAACCCCTATATAATTGGGGGTCCATATATACAGAACTGTAGGGAGAACTCACATAAACTAATAGGAAAAATGGAAATAAAAAATTGGGAAAATATGTCTGCACCAGCCTCCCCAAGATCAAAACCAGTGTTACAATTCAAGTGTTCAGTCTGGTCAGATTCGAATGACTTTATCTAGTTCCTAATCTGCTTGGCCAAGTCGAGTTTTTCAACTAAAGAACTCAGGTACTCCAATTGTACTGCTTCCAATATTTTCTTCTGGAAAACTCTCTGATGAATGAATTCTGCCTTCTACCTAAGGCACTCTCTCTCTCTCTCTGCCCAAAATGCCATCACACCAATCCCAATCTGTCTTGCTCCAGATCAAGCAAATGCATGAAACCCCATAATATATGAAATAGTTTCCCAGAGCACAGCCCTATGTGGGCTGAGTGCCAATTCCGAGATCTGGTTCTGCCCTTGCTCCCAGGCAGCTTTGCCTCCCCCTAAACTGGATGTCTTTCATGCACCGCCCAATGGGGAAGGAAATTGCAAGGACATAAGCCTCCATCAAGTCATCCTGAGGTGAGTAACCAGTATCTGCTACAGCTCTCTCTATTGGCGTTAGGGTTGCTTTGACTAGGATAATTGCTACATACTAGGATCCGGGACCATAAAGAAAAACCTTACCATACTTTATTCTTTTTCCTCTCGCAGCCTCAACTGAGGGTTCTCCATGAATGTGGTTAGCCTTCCAAGCTGCTTTCCTGCCAGTTGATAAGAATATGGCCTGATCCTCACAGAAGACTCACTCGTGGCACTGCTGGAAGATATCCTTGGAGCACTGACAGATTAACCAGATTAACTGAAAAAAAAGCACCCGTTCTGCAAGAGCATGGGCTTTGGAAAATCTTAGTTTGCTGTGGATTTTTAAATGAGGTGCATAATATACAGTGCCAACTCATTCCAAGCGGTCATTGGTAGACCATTAGCTGGAAAATTGCTTCCAGTTTTCATCACTGTGCATAACTCCAGCTCCCTTTGGGGAGCTGTCTGTACCCTTCACTAGAAGTCCTGTTTAGCATGGCAACTACTGGATTACTTTATTATGTGTGCAGATGGCATGATGTGTTAGGGAAAAAAAAAAAACACAGCAGTTCTGCAGTCTCAGTGGAAGTAAGTGTTCACCATAGTCTGTCCTGGTAGGAATGTAATCATGTCTCAGTTATGTTAGTTACGATGTCTGAAGGTGTCCTGTCCAACTCTTAAGCACTTTATAGAAGAACATTACACCGAAATGAATCAGCACGTTCAGTACATGTGAGAAAGTGTTTTTTCTTTTCTTTTATAAATCTTGTCCTATTTGTGGCTCAGACTGTCTAAGACAAACTCTCCTATTAGCATACCCCTGGTCTTCAATGATAAATTGGTGTAAATATGGCCACAATACTGTTAGACTTACCCTCTTGACACTTTACAGGACAACTGGATTGTTTATCGCACCAAAGGGAAGCAGAAGTGGGTCTAGGGGGTTGTAGTAGTGGTAGCTCAGCTCTAGGTTCTGTGTCCTGGGGTGCAGCAGCCCCCCACACACAAAGACTGAAACCCAGGACAATTTGGCCAATGGGCATCTTCTCTCGCTCTATAGAGAAGTTTTTCAAAGAAAAAAAAGGGTGGCCTTCTTTAAACTAAGACCATCTTGAGATGATAGTTAAGGCAACGGTGCAGTTTCCCTATGTGGTCCGACTCTAATGCTTTGGAAAACTTTCTAGGTCAAGCTTAAATCACAGTTCTCTGAAAAGAAAAACAGCAAGTGACCCCCCAGTGTGCCTACAAAAGGAAAAGGGTTCAATCCCACAGTAGGTTTCTTTCTCTGTAGAGAACCTTCTGGTCCACTTTAATCCTCTCTGGAATTATACCCACAACTAATTATTTTTCAACATGTCTTACAACAAAGCACAGTCCCAGGAAACCAGTCAGTCCAATTATTGCTGGTCATTAGGCATTAGAGAAGTGCCCATTTTGACTGACCCGACATTTCCCCCTGGAAATATAAAGTTGGCTGCATCAAAAACTCAGCAAAGCATGTTCTGTGTGCCCGGGATCCAGCCCTGGAGGTTTTTCCTTAAAAATATGTAATGGCTCTGGGACCCTGCCAACATGAGTTAGCTTGGTGTTCTCAGGGGTCTCCTGACACACTCAGTGTCTGCTCTCCCCACATCTTGCCTCCCCTGGGGGGTCTCAGGAATTCATAGTCCTTTGGAAAATGCCTCAGCCTGAGCTTTGGAGACTTGGCAGGAAGGGGGACAAAGACCCAAGTGTGACCGGTGAGTCACCCAGTCGATGACTCACCACCAGCCTGTCAGGTTGTAGGGCCATCGAATGGACTTCCCAGTGGGAACTTGGAGGGGTTTCATCACCCCAAGATCTAGTCCTTCCATGGGTCAGTGCTGGCACCATCTGGTCCTCAGCAAACCACGACTCTTTACGAATCCAAAATCAAGAGGCTCGCCCTTCGCCACCAAGGTCCCTAGACAGCACACCCTGATCTCCACTGCTCACCTTCTGCGGTTCAATTCCAATCCCTCCTCCATGTTCCTTCCTTTATTCAGCAAGCACTGGTGAGCAGCTACTGTGTGCCAAGCATCATGCTAGGGTAACAATAGTGTACAGGGCAGCCTGCCCCTCCCTTGTGCAATGACATCTGCTCCTCCCACCACCATCCCCATCCGCCTTTCCACAAAATTAGATTCAGGCAGCATTCACCCTGCAGAGTAGCGGGGGCCATGCCCATGGCAGCAGGCAGTTCCCTTGCCGGAGGACACAGCATATTTGCAGTCCGCGTGGACAGCCGGCCCTCCCTGGCCTAGCTGGTTAGAGCTTCCCAAAGCAGCTTTCACTTGCTTTCCTTGAGAGCTGCTCTGGCGACCTCTATTCCCATCCTTTACGCAGATACAACTGTTCATCACTATACTGGTTTCTCTCAAGCTCCGGTTCTATAATCCTGGGGACACAGAATTGGACCTGATGAGCCCTAAAGCGCTATGCCAGGTGCAGAGATATTGTAGCTGGGAATGGATGGGTCTGGCCAGGGCTGTTCTGAGACTACTGCGAATGCCCTTGAAAACCGGACCTGCTTTATGGTGCAGATGGTCATTAAATGATGCTGGTTCATCCTTCCTTCCTTTGGCTTTCATAAAATAGGCTCTCAACAATTGAATGAGTCTCTAGTTGGGAAATGAATTAAAAGTGCTGGGTGAAGTGGAGCCGGGATAAGGCAATTCAAGAGCCCAGTAGAAAGAAGATGGCATCTCTAAAAATGCCTTAATTCCCAGCATGCCTCCCATATTTTCATATGAACTGTAACTGGTTCCCAGTTGGCCTCAGTTGAAACCATTTGGGGGATAGTTTTGGAAACGTGGTAGCATAAAATCTTAGCAATCGCAAGCTCAGCCAGCACAGTGGGGACCTGGCTTCATTTGCAGCCCTTGAAGGCTTAGCCACGGTGCCATGATCCCATCCACTGCTGTGCTGCTCCCGCTTCCCGAGATGTGTGCAGGAAATGCTACCTCCCAGAAGTCCAGAAATGGCTGTGAGGAGTTTTCTTTAGCAGGATGCAGGGGATGGGGAGTGAGGAGAAAATATCATGATACCTAAAGATTGTTAACTGATGCTCCACTTTTACGTTTCCTTAAATCTGGCTGTACCTTTGATTCAAAGGCTGACACCCACATGTGTGCAGCAAAGGCACTCTGGGGAATGAACAGAATGAGTAATTCTCAGACTCTCTGGGTGTCAAGAGGGTTAGCTTGTTCCAGCTCCATAACTCAATTTAAATCTGCAAAGCATCCCTGGTTCTGCTTGGGTAGGAAGCAAGTCACACCATTGGCTTCGGATGTACCTCCGGGAGAGCACCCCTCCACTTTCTTTGTGGGTAACAGCAGACCTGCAAGTTCCCACTTGGGCTCAATGAGCTCCACCACCACACACTTGCCTTCTACCTCCAGAATACGGGTACACCTCCCCCACACCCGGGTTTCTCTCCAGAGTCATTTCACAGTTGCCAAACAGAAGCTGATAGTCCTTAGTGGGGAGGGAATTCTGCCATCGTTAACATTCCAGGGGGGAGGGTGTATCAACCTGACATGACAACATAAACTGAGGCTAAAACCGCTAATGGATTGACTCCCCTTGTTACATGCAATCATTTTCTTTGTCTGCAAATGCCACATAATTGATTTGAGAAAGGAACAATATGAGTCTCATGGAAGAAAAGTTTCCAAGGCCCCCTTAGCACTTTAGTTTTTACCAAAACCTCCTCTTGCCAGTGCATTATCAGCCTCGTTCTTTGTGATGTTTCCCTCTCCGTTCTTTAGAGTAATTTTCTTCCTTGACAACTAGACTGAAAACTGGCGTAGACTCCTTAAAAATCTAATCTTTGAAAATGACATAAATTTCTTTATGCCTTAAAAGCTGTTTTTATCACCTCTCTCCTCCCCTCTTCCTTGCTTTGTTTCATGTTTTTCTTCCCTTTAATCTCTTGCTTAACACAGTTCTGTGAGTAGAGCTCAAGTATTCTGTAAAGAACACAAAGAACACCAATAGCAGAACAGAGTCCTCTCCCATTTGCCGCCGGACTGACTGATAATTCCTTCGTAAGTTTGACTCGGTAAAATCTTGCTGCCCAGACAGCTGTGGGCCATGGATTCGCATCTCCAGGGGCAATTGGTCAGAGCCGCTGAACAAAGTGGCCCGTGAATCACAGACCAGGAGGTGCTTTTCTGCAGGGCACAGCTGGGAACTCTGTGTCAAAGACAGGCAGGTCCTGCCCTGTCTCCTTAGCTCCGTGTCCAGTCCTGTAGCCAGAGAGACAACTGTTTTATGAATCCAGCTTCATCACATGTGTGATTTCTGGCACCACCGCACAAAGTCAAGGTCAAAAGATTGCATTTCCATTATTTCACTCCGGTCACTTCCTCTAGTAGGGAGACAGAGAGTATACTTTTGAAAGCTGTGGGAAACTGGAGGGAAAGTTGGCCAAGTACACAGGGAGGTTCTACTACATCTTAATAAAAAGAACAAAATAGACCCTTCTCTTGAGAGTTTCATTTGCAAAGATGGCTAGGGGGGTGGATCAGGACTGGTTTTCTTTGGGCCGTCATCTTAGTCTTGCAAGGAAAATATTGGGAACAGGGGACAAGCACTGTTTCTAAGATCCAGAAATTTGGAGGTGAGATTCACCCTTGACAAGGGTCAAGGATGGGAGCCATTGAGGATGGGGTAATTTTAGATCTCCTATCCAACAGCAGAAAGACTGGAAAATGACTTCCACAGAATAGCAGCAAGTGAGTGTAAAAGACTGTAAAACTGGAGTTTCATTCAGCATTATTTAAAAAATCTTGAAGACCCCCCACCCCAAGCACTTTACTTCTGATTTCACTTCCCCAATTCCATCAGACACAATCAGAGGCACCAACAACATCCACCTAAGAAAATGTCCAAGTAACCATCTGAGTTGCATTGAATTGCAGTTGACTGGGTGGCATAATATTGAGTTGCCAGTATTTAGGCATAATTTCTGATTCTATAATATTCTTTTATATGTTGAGCCAATGGTTCATTTAATTGTTTACTTTGTTGTTTTCCAAATGGCAGACATTTCCAGAAGCCTTAGAAATGCTCTTAAACCCAGTCCTTTTTGCATAATGTGCAAAGTGATACAAGCAGCTGTGAACGATAAGGAGAAAATTAAATTAATCTGATGTTGGAGATACTAATACCTAAAGCTATTCAAACCCTGAAGGCTCTGTGGGTTGCCTTCCACATTGTTTATAAC